GCTGGAACTATGTCGGCCACGTCCTTAGAATGGATAAATCAAGACTTCCTTACCAAGCCCTCATTTGGACACCACAGGGGAAAAGATCTCGTGGAAGACCAAGGGAAACCCTACGTAGAACTATCATCAGGGAAGGCTCGCTCATGGGCGACTCAAACATCCAAGACCTACAACGGATTGCAACGGACCGCCGTGCATGGAGAGTCACGACCTCTGCCCTATGTGCCGCACTCGACACAAGAGGAAAGACTAACTAACTAATCTATCCTACATTCTTTATAGTGTGTGTTTCCACGACTGTATCCTTTATTCTTTATAGTGTGTGTTTTCCTGACTCTATCTATCCTACATTCTTTATAGTGTGTTTCTGCGACTCTATCCTTCATTCTTTATAGTGTGTGTTTCCATGACTCTATCCTTCCTTCTTTATAGTGTGTGTTTTCCTGACTCTATCTATCCTTAATTCTTTATAGTGTGTGTTTGCACGACTCTGTCTATCCTACATTTTTATAGTGTGTGTTTCCACGACTTTATCTATCTTTAATTCTTTATAGTGTGTGTTTCCACGACTCTGTCCTTCATTATTTATATTGTGTGTTTCCACGACTCTATCCTTCATTCTTTATAGTGTGTGTTTTCATGACTCTATCCTTGATTCTTTATAGTGTGTGTTTTTACGACTCTATCCTTGATTCTTTATAGTGTGTGTTTTTACGACTCTATCCTTGATTCTTTATAGTGTGTGTTTCCTCGACTCTATCCTTGATTCTTTATAGTGTGTGTTTTCACGACTCTGTCCTACATTTTTATAGTGTGTGTTTGTGTTTCCATGACTCTATCTATCCTTCATTCTTTATAGTGTGTGTTTCCACGATTCTGTCTATCCTACATTCTTTATAGTGTGTGTTTGTGTTTTCATGACTCTATCTATACTACATTCTTTATAGTGTGTGTTTCCACGACTGTATCCTAAATTTTTATAGTGTGTGTTTTCACGACTCTATCCTACATTTTTATAGTGTGTGTTTCCGCGACTCTATCCTTTATTCTGTATAGTGTGTTTTTCCACCACTCTAACCTTCATTCTTTATAGTGTGTGTTTTCACGACTCTATCCTACATTTTTATAGTGTATGTTTCCACAACTCTACCCTACATTTTTTATAAAGCCCACAGAAGTTTGGAGACAAACAAAGTTGTTATATTATCCCCCCCCCCCCTTTCCACCACCCCCCCCCCCCAAAAAAAAAGACGTGTGGGTCTCTACCATATAACATATGATAGATATCGTCCTGCCAGCCGTAAATGCAATTGTGGATTCAATCTTATCAAGGAAGACTGCTGGTAATACCTGCTGTCGTGCTCAAAAGCTACTGAATGTCATGAATGTTGCCTAACACAGTGACATTAACCCTTTTCAGTGCAGCCGGTTGCAAAGTTCCTATCTGAGAAATTTCACGGTTTGTGGGGTTTGTGGCGTAAAAATCACCTAATTCATAGATCAACTCATGCGCATGGATGCTCCAAGATGATAACTATTGATTTTGTACGTCCCAGTAGCAAGTTGTCCTAAAGTCAGGGCTTGAAGAGGGCATCGAGATGTTGATATACTTTATGTCAGCTGCACTGAAAAGGGTTAATGTCACTGTGTTAGGCAACATCTATGACACTACTAGCCCTCTTGTTGTCTAGGTTGTGTGCAGATGTGCGTCTTTCAGTAGCTTTTGAGCACGACTACAACAGCAGATATTACCAGCACTCATCCGTTTGTGATTTTTTTTTTTTTTTTTTTTTTTTTTTTTTTTTTTTTTTGTTGTTGTTGATAAGATTGAATCCACTATTGCATATACTCCTGGCAGGACGATATCTATCATTGCTGATTTCACTTCTTCCTACTCCTCCCCCTCCTACTCTTCCTGCATCTTCTTCTTCTTATTCTTCTTTCTTCTTCTTGTTCTTCTTCTTGTTCTTCTTCCTCTTCTTCTTCTTATTCTTCTTCTTCTTCTCCTTCTTCTTCTCCTCCTCCTTAATTGTTTTTCCTTTTTATTCCTCTTCTTCTTTTTCTCCTCCTCCTTCTTCTTCTCCTTCTTCCTTTTTTATCATTATTTTTCTCTATCTTATCCCTTTTCTCCTCCTCCTTATTATTATTATTTGTCTTCTTCTTATTCTCTTTCTTCTTCTTCTTCTTCTCCTTCTTCTTCTTCTCCTCCTTTTTCTTCTCCTTCTCCTTCTCATTATTATTATTTTTCCCCTTTTTTTTTCTTCTTCGCTTTTTTCTTCTTCTTTTTCTTTGTCTTTTTCTTCTTCTTCTTCTTCTTCTTCTTCTTCTTCTTCTTCTTCTTCTTCTTCTTCTTCTTCTTCTTCTTCTTCTTCTTCTTCTTCTTCTTCTTCTTCTTCTTCTTCTTCTCCTCCTCCTCCTCCTCCTGCTTCTTCTCCTCCTTCTCAATTTTTTCCTCTCCCCATCCTTCTCCTTCTCCTCCGCTTCCTCACCATCTTCTTGTGTCAGATCTAGAATAGGCTAGGAATCAAGACTCTCTCTTCAGTTCCTTATCATCTGACATTTTAAGTCTTTCAGTACCAGGTAACTTACTATCCAGTTATTGGTTACACTTTTTACGATACCAGTATCTCATCTGCTGTTGTCAGACACTTATGTTTTTGTTTTTTTTAATTGTAGTATAAATGTTACTTTAACGTCTTCAGTTATTTATCTGTATTGCTTTGAATGCGTTAGTATTCATACAAATTTTATAGACGGGGTTCTAAGAATACCATGGGCATCATGCAGCCTATCTACCACCCCCTGAAATATTAGACTGTCCCATGACCTGTGGATTTCCCCTGTTTGGGGTAGGATATTAATAAAGCACCTGAAACCTGTTCTGTTTTCTTTTGCCCAGTATTTTCCCCCACACCAAGCTAAATTCTGGTTATTGTTATTTTATTCAGGGGTTCACACAGTTTGTTCATTTATAATTATGAGTACCCAGAAACAGCTTATAAACAACATATTCATACCAATACTGTTCTACCAGTGCCAGACTCCGGCATTATCAAATGCTAACCTACGTGAAATAACATCTGGGAAATGAGATGCATGAGAAATGCCACCAACTTAACCATCCTTTACAAAGTTAGAAATGATATTAGCAGACCGACTGTAGGAACAAAATTTTCTGGCCAGATACAGTCTCAAACACTAAACTACTTCAAGCCACAAACCAAGAAACTTTAGACAGTATGATTACCAAGAGAAGATGGAAATGGCTTGGCCACGTTATGAGAATGACTTCTGATATACCTGCCAAAACAGCTCTCACATGGACACCAGAGGGAAAGAGAAAACAGGGGCGCCCAAAAACAACATGGAGACGAACGATGGAAAGTGACCTGAGTGCGGCATCTTTGACATGGAAAACTGCACTGAAGATTGCACAGGACAGGAAAGCATGGAAAGTCCTCTCTGAAGCCTCATGTGCCACTAGGCATAACGAGAACTGATGACTGTAGGAACAACACCAAACAGCAACAGCAAACAGCAACACCAAACAGCAACACCAAACCTCAACACCAAACAGCAACACCAAACAGCAACACCAAACAGCAAATTCATTGAGAAACAGAAGATCAGATAGTTTGGTTATTTGGTAAGAATTCAGCCAGAACAACGACTATCGCAGGCTGCCCTATGAGATAAAGGTAAAGGTAAAGTCGGGAGATGTGAACTAGCGTCATTGCACACAGTTATAAACCATCAGTGCTCTGCCACCAGTACGGACAGCTGATAAGAATTGTCCGCCTGTGCCGCCATTCGCACGTAGCTACAGCGACGTTCCTCCATTTACCATAGAGTGTCAACTCTGGTACCCATTTCCTAGAGGCTTGGTGAACCCCAGGAACCGCCCGGTTTCGAACACTGACCTTGGGCTGTAGCGAGTCGCAGCTGGATTTGAAAGCAAGCCTCTTATTGACTGCGCTAACGCAGCCTCCTATGAGAATATTGATTGATGACATTAAAGAGTGTCCACATGGACATGGAATGACAGTAGCCCATGTTGTCCATCAAGCAATGGATCGCAAACTGTTCCTGCCCCCAACACTTAACAGCAGAACTGGAAAATGATGATGATAATGATGAATCACCATTTATAATTTACCCTTATTCTTTGTGTATATCAGTGTCGGTATGTGTGTGTGTATTAGTAATGCTAGCGAATGTCATTTTGTTTGTGTCATGATTAGTAGCAGTAGTAAATTATACCCCACCGAGACATCACACCAGCAACAAACACCTGATGACACAAAGTGCCACAATGCGGATGAGGATCACCCTTGGAGAGGTCACGGAAACCACGTTAAGCCATTAGGCCATATTTATGGCCGAGCTATATTGCGGCCCTTGGCAAAAGCCAAGGTTGGGGCTCCAAAATAACGAAAAATTGCATCCCACAAGGGGATGATGAATATAATGTTCCATCATGGTAAGATACCTATGACTGACTGACTGACTTTCTACCCCACCAGGACATCGTACTAGTGATAAACACAATGTGCCACCATGTGGGTGAGGATCACCGTGGAGAGGTCCCAGAAACCGCGCTCAGCCTTTAGGCCATATTTATGGCCAGGCTATATTGCGGCCCTTGGCAAAGCCAGAGTCGGCCTTCAAATAACGAAAAATTTCATCCTAAAGGGCAGAAGTAAGCAGATTGATACCTAGGAAACGAAAATTAGAACTATTTGATGTCAGATGTTATTAATTTCTCTATTCACAATATACACAACACTTGTCTCCAGTACAACATCTCCATTGTCCCCAGTTCCTCTATCATTTCATTACTCATTGTCCTGCTTTCAAATCCATGCAGAAAACCAACACATTCAGGTCAGAACTTGTGATGATACTGCCTTTTTTTTTTTTTTTCGACTTTACATGTTTTAACGAAGTATTATTTCCCTTCATTTGATGATGGTCCGTCTATCTATCTACAGGTCTGCGCGATGCTTTTGGAGCAGGGAGCTAAACCAAATGAGGTGGATAATGACAGTAGAATAGCTTTGATCCAAGCTTCTCAGGAGGGTCACCTAGAGGTTGTCAAGAAGTTGGTAGAGGCTGGATCAAATGTCAATCACAGGTCACATGACGGCAAGACTGCTTTAAGGGTGGCTGCAGTAGAGTCCCATAAAGAGGTATGTACAAATATAATGTTTAACATTTGCTCAAGAATTCATATCACAGCACTCCCGACATTCCCATAAGCGCTCCGCCCTCGTCTTCAGCAGTGAGCGCACAGCCCTCATTTCTGATGGTACCAGTCTGATTGTATATTCAGCTCACTTGTCCCTTAAGTGTTGATCATGGGCCAGATCCCCTGGTAACTACTTGAAGCACCATTTCCCTCAGACTGTAATGATCCATCTGTGTCTCTGCATAGTCCTCCCCCCCCCCCCCCAAGGGACCTTACAACATCTAACTTGGCATGCATCAGTTCAACTCCACGTTTGGCAGAACCAGGCAGTCTGGTTCTGCCTGTTCATTTCCTAATACACCAGTATATCCTGGAGAAAATATCCAAAGGACACTAACTGCTAGTGACCTTTGAAGTGATGCTTGCTACGCTTCATGAAGCATACCAGTCTCTGACATTCTCAGCATCCTCTGTGTGTAGAAATGTAAGGAAGAATGTGATGATTCAGAAAGAGGTCGTAATGAACACATTGATTGTGGTGATTTTCCTGCTGTTACTTTTATGGTGTCAGTGTGACGTTTATATTTTCTTGCTGTAAAAGTGACATTTATGCGAAACCATAGTTAATTTTTTTCATTGTTGTAATCCAGCTTGCATCAAAAAGTTTTGAAAATGATAGCAACATAAAAATGTTCTATTTGCTAGCCCCAGATTTAACAAATGTAATCACCAAACAGAACAACTTTGATATTTTATTACATATTCAAAACACAGGTAAATATAATACTATATATTTAAATATGCTGCAAGGCATCCCGGGAGTGAAGAAATAAAGAAGATTTAAACATTAAACAGAACAGCTTTACCAATATATGCAGTATCCTAATCTTCTTCTTCTTCTTCTTCTTTTTCTTCTTCTCTTCCACCTTGTACCTCAGCGAAGTGTCGGGGAGAGATGTAACGTTCATTGATGAGCTCTGTCAAGAATACTATTTAGACTGATGTTAATTTCTGTAGGGCTGTTCTTAATGCCATCACTTCATATTTTCCGAGGTCTTCCGCTCGCTCTATACCCCTTGTAATGTTTTATTGTGGCTTGTTGTGGCAGATAGTACCAGGGCATTCTTGTTAGGTGTCCAAACCACTTCATTTGTTGTTTTTTGATGACTTGTAAGACTGGCTTTATTCCAAGCATTCGTCTGATTTCGTGATTTCGTATTCTGTCTTTCCTTGAAACTCCTGCAGCTCTTCTAAGGCATTTCATCTCTGTTGTCACAATATTACATTCATTGGAGGATGAAAGTGTCCACATTTGGACGTTAGTGTTATAATTACAGTAGGTAATTTTTTTTAAACTTTTTGGGCTAGGGTGGTGGACGTGGGGGGGAGGAGTTATGGCTATAGTTAGCAATATTATAGCGTGTAGTATAAGAACAGCCATAGGGCTAGCAGGGATTATAATATCACATGGCAAAGAGAGTCAACAGAAGGCCAAATCAGAGCAATGGACCTTCGAAGATGTACCAGAAAATACATAAGTAAAAATGATATTCTTTATCTTCTTTCAACCTATTTGGGTGCTGCTCTTTGCCATTTTCTTGAATCTTTTTTTTTTAACATTCTCTAAATATCTGCCTTTATTGACTTTAATAGCTTTTTTTTTCTATTTTAATATTTCGTTTTGGTTGTTATATTTTTCTTGGCGAAATCATTATTTCTGCTTTTATAATTTTCAGGTAAAATTCTTAGAAATCAGTATAAACAAGAAAAAAAGCAAGTATTATAAAACAAGTATTATAAAAATTGTGTTATTAACCTTTTCCTGCAGGTAGTGGAGTACCTGCTGACAATGGGGGCAGACGTCAACTACAAAGATGCTGATGGACGGACAACACTGTATGTGATTGCACTGGATGGCAACTCTGAGATGACGGAGATACTTGTCGATCATGGTGCAGATCTTGAAGCTGTTGATGTTGAAGGGAGGACAGCTCTGCACGTTGCAGCTTGGCAAGGAAATCTAGATGTTGTCAAGACCTTGGTGGGACATGGGGCTAAGGTGAATTCTATAGATAATGATCATCGTACGGCTGTACAGTCAGCCTCCTGGCAGGGCCACGAACAGGTAGTCAGGTTGTTGCTAGAGGCTGGAGCTAGAGTAGACCACACCTGCATGCAAGGTGCTACAGCTCTGTGTATTGCAGCACAAGAGGGGCATGAAGATGTGGTCAGAACTTTGCTGAGTTTCAATGCAAACCCCAACCATGCTGACCAGTTTGGGAGAACACCCTACAGGGTTGCACTGAAAAGTAATCATGTTAGCATTTGTAAGATCCTGGAAGACTTTGGTGCCATCATTCCTAATGGGGCGAAAGCTCAAAATATTTCATTGACATCTAGCAGTGATATTAAAATGAACGCTGCATCATCTACCTCACAAGAAACTATGGCAGAATCATCAGGAAGTATGGGCATTAAAGTAACAACTGTTGTGGTCCAGTCTTTATCTTCTGCCTCTCCAGAGTCTACATCTGACCATCACAAATCCTATCACTCGAACAACTCCTCTAAATCATCAGGGAGTCTGACTTCTTCAACAAACTGGAGCAACCAAAGTGGAGTGGGCAACCTCTCAAGGCTAGACAGAGAGTGCCTGACCTTCACCCAGCAGCTGCAGCAGTGCTCCGTCAGCAAGAACCGCTCCAGACCAATCAGCAGAGTGCTGTCTCCGGTTAGTGAACCACAAAGTCCACTACATTCTCCATGCATTACCCCTGTTAATGAAACAACAAGAAACGTTGAGCAGAATATGAACATCATGATCCCATCACCAATCAAAAGTGGATCATTCAAACAAGAGAAGATATCAGCTGCCATAAACATAATCACAAATCCACATGTGGATATGATGAGCTCAGTGGAAGAACCAGTGTGGCAAAGAAATCCTGCCCATCCTGTCAATAATCATGCTGTCAGTTCATCTCTTACCAGTTGCGATATCATTGGTAGTGAATCTCAGTTCGATTACTCCAGTCTTCAGCAACCTTACTTCAGTTCTCCCTCTTCAGATTCACCATCGAAGATCATCATGGGGAGGAAATCCCTGGGTAGCAAGAGCCCTGATACAAAAAAGAAACGAAATGGGATCGTCACAAATCCAAAAGTCAACCAGCCAGGTAGTTCCAAGATTGTACTTAAATATAATATGCTGTCCAGCAGCCCAGACAGCAAGCCAGGCTCTACTGTCTGCAGCAATGTTACATCCGGAAGCTCCTCCTCAGTTTCAACAGAAACTCTGAGTTCTTCCAATGTTAGATCGGGCAGTGCTGCCATTTTATCACATGAGATTGTGGACATAGATGAGGGAACAAGCCATCTGATTGGGAGTGTTAAGGCTATCAGACCTAATGGACTTCCAATAAAGAAGATCAACTCCCAACAGTAAGTCACATGCCAAATTGTGTTTTCTTTACCATATATACAGGTAATTACTGCATACTTCATAGTTGTCAATTCATGTGGGGGAATTTTTCCATCTTCTGTGGTTGTCAGTTCAGGTGTGTGTTTCTTTCATACTTAAGGTGACCATAGGTCCTGTTTTCACTGGGTCAGTTATTTTTTTCATTTTTCATTTTGTATGCCGAGACATCCCCTCGATACTGAGAAAAAGGGAATGTTCCTGTTTAAAAAAAATCTAGGGATAGGCTTGAGAATAGAACACACACTTATATCTGTAGACTTTATTAGATTTCATAGTTTTAAATACTTGTAATGTTTTAATGTGTTGATAGGAATTTTCATTATAACATGTTTTCTTAGTGCAGTTAAAGAGCATATTGTTTCGTATATTTCTTGTAGACCTGGTTCCTGTTTGAATACCATTGTAAAGCAAGTGATGGTGACCTAGAAAACAATTAGGGGGTGGTGTTAAAATGTCTTGTTTGGGATGTCCCGTTTTCAGCTCAAGATATTACTGGGATGTCCCATTTTCAGCTCAAGATATTAGTGGGATGTCCCGTTTTCAGATCAAAATATGAGTGGAATGTTTCAATTTCAGCTCAAGATGTTAGTGGGATGTCCTGTTTTCAACTCAAGATGTTAGTCGGATGTCCTGTTTTCTGCTGCAGATGTTAGTGGGATGTCCTGTTTTCAGCTCAAGATGTTAGTGGGATGTCCTGTTTTCAGCTCAAGATGTTAGTCGGATATCCTGTTTTTTGCTGCAGATGTTAGTGGGATGTCCTATTTTCAGCTCAAGATGTTAGTGGGATGTCCTGTTTTCAGCTCAAGATGTTAGTTGGATATCCTTTTTTCTGCTGTAGATGTTAGTGGGATATCCTGTTTTCTGCTGCAGATGTTAGTGGGATGTCCTGTTTTCAGCTCAAGATGTTAGTGGGATGTCCTGTTTTCAGCTCAAGATGTTAGTGGGATGTCCTGTTTTCAGCTCAAGATGTTAGTCGGATATCCTGTTTTCTGCTGCAGATGTTAGTCAGATATCATGTTTTCTGCTGCAGATGTTAGTGGGATGTTCTGTTTTCAGCTCAAGATGTTAGTGGAATGTTCTGTTTTCAGCTCAAGATGTTAGTCGGATGTCCTGTTTTCTGCTGCAGCTGTTAGTGGGATGTCCTGTTTTCAGTTCAAGATGTTAGTGGGATGTTCTGTTTTCAGCTCAAGATGTTAGTGGGATGTCCTGTTTTCGGCTCAAGATGTTAGTGGGATGTCCTGTTTTCAGCTCAAGATGTTAGTCTCATGTCCTGTTTTCAGCTCAACATGTTAATAGGATGTCCTGTTTTAAGCTCAACATGTTAATGGGATGTCCTGTTTTCAGCTCAAGATGTTAGTGGAATGTCCTGTTTTCAGCTCAAGATTTTGTGGTCACCCGATTCATACTTTACGGCTGTCTGTTCAAATAGGTGATTCTGTCTGTACACAACAGTTGTCTGTTCAAATAGAGGATTCTGTCTGGACACAAAAGTTGTCTGTTCAAATGGGGGATTCTCTCTGTACACAACAGTTGTCTGTTCAAATAGGGGATTCTGTCTGGACACAAAAGTTGTCTGTTCGAATGGGGGATTCTGTCTGTTTACAAAAGTTGTCTGTTCGAATGGGGGATTCTGTCTGTACAAAACCGTTGTCTGTTCAAATAGGGGATTCTGTCTGGACACAAAAGTTGTCTGTTCGAATGGGGGATTTTGTCTGTACACAACTGTTGTCTGTTCAAATGGGTGATTCTCTCTGTACACAAACGTTGTCTGTTCAAATGGGTGATTCTCTCAGTACACAACAGTTGTCTGTTCAAATGGGGGATTCTCTCTGTACACAACAGTTGTCTGTTCAAATGGGGGATTCTCTCTGTACACAACAGTTGTCTGTTCAAATGGGGGATTCTCTCTGTACACAACAGCTGTCTGTTCAAATGGGGGATTCTCTCTGTACACAACAGTTGTCTGTTCAAATGGGGGATTCTCTCTGTACACAACAGCTGTCTGTTCAAATGGGGGATTCTCTCTGTACACAACAGTTGTCTGTTCAAATGGGGGATTCTCTCAGTACACAACAGTTGTCTGTTCAAATGGGGGATTCTCTCTGTACACAACAGCTGTCTGTTCAAATAGGGGATTCTGTCTGTACACAAAAGTTGTCTGTTTGAATGGGAGATTCTGTCTGTACACAACAGTTGTCTGTTCAGATTGGAAAAAGACCTGGCTCAAGATGCCATCTTGTCCTGTTTGCCAATGGTACACTAAATTTTTTAAGCCATGTTATTAACCTCACGGCTTCTCCAGTAATTTAATAACATTTATCAAGAACATATTACTTTATGGATATATATACTAAAGTATACTGAGATTGAGAGCTGTGGTATTAGAGTGGTAAAATGCTTACTTGCTAATCTAGGGAACAGCTGTTCAAATCTTCAACAACACAAGAATCTTCTATAACACAGTCTCAGTCTTAGTCAAGGCTTAAACTTCACCGCAGTTTAGTTTCCCCATATTTGTTCCATTCCTGTGACAGTGGAAATCAAATGAAATGTCGCTCACTGTCGCATTTGAAAAACTGGTGAACAGTTAGTCCTAGCACAATCCCAAAAAAATCTGCACCCAGTAAATGCATATGGCAGTTGTTAGAGATGCCAAAGCCAACAGTTGCCATTGGAAATGCGGTTTGTCATTGATGGAAGTAGTCAGGCATGATAAGTTGGCTATAGGCACATAGAATTAATACATAAGGTATATCACCAGCTCACAAGTAAACAGCCTACCTGCAATATTGAATAAAATGACACAACTGCTGCACAAATGAGAGTCATTTCACATGAAAAACACAGCTCACTGTGCTGCACCAAGCACTAAACTCAGTAGTTCAGGCAGCAAAACTGTAGACTACCGTCCATATGTAGAAACTGCATAATCAAAGCGTTGTCAAAAGCAAAAAATAACTTTAAAGCTCAACATTCTGTCATGCATAATACTGCATTTTAGACCAGAAGTCTCTATCGCTTTATCTTCTGTGAAACTGACAGTAATAACTCTAGCAACTTCTCTATGAGTAGTTTCTTGTGCTACATTTTCCCTCAGGGCAACATTAGGACTTTCTCTGATGTAGACTCGGCTGAGATGACCAGCTATGTCTGTATCGCCGGAAAGATGACAATGAATGTCAAGGGTCATGCTATCTATGAAATGCTTTCACTTGTTGGAACAGGCAGCATCAGACATCTTGTCCGAGTATGGCAGTGCCAGATCTTTGAGGCCAGCTGATCCCTGTTCTGTCAGTTTGACTCTAGGCACAGTAAATAGCAAACTTGTCTCTTGGCCTGGTGGTTATAGGTTTGAATCTTCAAGGGGAGGGGAATGAAGTCCTAAACTGCCAGGTTGGCCTGGCCTTAAGAAATGGATTTCAGGAAACATTTTGAGAAGTACAGATGGTCATCACAATGTTGACAACATTTTTTGGGACCTGACAGATCGATAAAAAATTGGACTAGCACCGTGCTTCATGGATTTGAAAAGGGAATTTTTATTCACTCATATTTAAGGCACAGTGGCCCTCCACAAGATAAGTATGTTATCTGACCCTTTCTTTGTCCTAGAGGGTAACAAAGAGGACTGCTAAGTGTTGTGTGGGGCTGATTCTGATGTGTGGAAGGGGATCATGTGTGGAAGGGGATCATGTGTAAAAGGGGATCATGTGTAAAAGGGGATCATGTGTGGAAGTGGATCATGTGTAAAAGGGGATCATGTGTGGAAGGAGATCATGTGTGGAAGGGGATCATGTGTGGAAGGGGATCATGTATGGAAGGAGATCATGTGTGGAAGTGGATCATGTGTGGAAGGAGATCATGTGTGGAAGGAGATCATGTGTGGAAGGGGATCATGTGTGGAAGGAGATCATGTGTGGAAGGAGATCATGTGTGGAAGGAGATCATGTGTGGAAGGGGATCGTGTGTGGAAGGGGATCATGTGTAGAAGGGGATCGTGTGTGGAAGGGGATCGTGTGTGGAAGGGGATCATGTGTGGAAGGAGATCATGTGTGGAAGGAGATCATGTGTGGAAGGAGATCATGTGTGGAAGGGGATCGTGTGTGGAAGGAGATCATGTGTGGAAGGGGATCGTGTGTGGAAGGGGATCGTGTGTGGAAGGGGATCGTGTGTGGAAGGGGATCGTGTGTGGAAGGGGATCATGTGTAGAAGGGGATCGTGTGTGGAAGGGGATCATGTGTGGAAGGGGATCATCTGTGGAAGGAGATCATGTGTGGAAGGAGATCATGTGTGGAAGGAGATCATGTGTGGAAGGGGATCGTGTGTGGAAGGGGATCATGGCAGTTAGTGAGTTGTTACTTAGGGAATGCTGTGATGTGATTTTAAATACAGTTGTTTCCATAGATAAATGCTGCGGATACCATGTGGGAAAAAGACAGAATAGAGCAGGCTTCTTAAAAGAAACTAACATAGGAATTGAAATAATTACTGATATTAGAAAAAGCCAATTCACACACTCTTTGGACATGATAATACAATGTGTCAAAAGTTGGAGGGAAAGAATGATGAAGAAGAAACCTTCAGAAACAGAGTATGCATTATTGAAAATTACAGGCCCCCCCCCCCCCAAAAAAAATTTAACAGAAGACGCTGACTAAACATGATGACCAGTATCAAATGACATGGACTGGGAGAAGAAATTAGAAAAAACTATACAGATTTTGTCATGTTGCTGATCTGATTTGTCTCTTGTTTTAGATGTAATGCAATGGCACCTCATGAGAGAACCTAACTAAAGCAGTAGAGTGCTCAACCATTAAACAGGCATCTGAGTTTAAATAACTGGCAACAACATTCACGAAAATGGTAAATTGGATGAAGAAAAATAATTTCTTGTGCAGTAAAGCAGGCCAAGTATTGGGACTTATCTTATCTTACAGCATAAAAAATCCCGATCAATGCAAAGAAATATCTCATACAAAGGTATTCATTTGCAACTTATACTACTAGTGTCTAACATAGTCACTCACAACAAAGCAGAAAAGAAAAGTAGTACCTTGGAAATGAGATGTCAGAGAAGTGTTGCAGGAGTGAGCAGAAGAGATCAAATTAGGAATGGGGTCATAAGAGAAAATGTTGGCACATAACTAGTTCTAAATTACAAACAAATATAGTAAATAAAATGATTTGCCTACAGAATACCTTCTGACTTTCCAAAGTAAAAGTGAGTAAAGATCTCTTTTCATGCCTCAGGCACATCAGGCATATGAGAGAGCCTCCCATATTTTTACTGACCAATCGGCACCGGATGGGTAATGTGGTCAGCATTAAGCCGGCTGTTTTTACTTCCCCAGGACAGCCATCCTGGTACCCATTTTAGGCTGGGTCAGCCTGACCACAGTATGTTGGACTCGCAAAGCCTTAGCCACGGATGCCACTCTCTGACCATCCAAGGCACACACTAAAACTGGAGTAGGACACTGATCATGAGGTAGATCAAAAACAAGGTGGTGAGATAACATCAGAGAAACTACAACTGCATAATGTGTCTATGGTTGAGACAGGCAGAAAAGCAGGAAGTAAAACTTTCTAATCTCCCTTGACACCAGAAGTGGTAAAAGAAGAAGCGGTGAAGAATATTTTATTTCAGCTGTTGACTCTTATAATATATGTATTTTGTCTTTATATAGACAGCTGACTAATTGTATGTCATTGGGTTATTTGTAGTTTTCACTAACAGTCAAGCCAAGACAAGTACTGTACAGTGATCATCACCAGCTTGGATGGAGATCAGCAACACTCAACACTACCAACATTTTTATCTCTACAGTCAAAGTATTTTGTCCAACTTATTGTGCTTACTGGAGCACGTCAGTGCTGTGATTTTTCATGATTATTTATACTTTACTTCTTTTATATTGAATGCTGTTATGTAATTTGAATGTGAAGTTTGGGGGGGGGGGGGGGGGGGGGGGGGGGGGGGGGGGGGGGGGGGGGGGGGGGGGGGGGGGAAAGGGGTGGGGTTGAAGAACATGCATCACATTGTTAAATAGCTTACTCAAAAATGCATGTAACTAACCACAGAATGTGTGTTGATTAATGTGGGAATAACTGCGAGTAAAGATATGAGCATGCACGGGCAGCTGATGTGAGTATATTTATTTGTATGACCATAAGATGTTTTTTATCAGAGCATTATATTGGTACGTGCAATATAAAACACCTAAATAAGCCTCTTCAGTATTGTCTATGCATCACAATAACATCAGATTAACAAAACATAATTTTTGCAACATAAAGATCCTGGTTAAAACAAAAACACTTATCTATCAAGCTTCTTTCTCAGCATTTTGTTAATGATGATGAAACATGCTCAACTTCCTTCGTATCGGTGAAAAAAGCTAAACAGCTTTTACACAGCAAGAATTGTCAGGATAAGTTGGTAAGTTAAGATCACAAACACTGGTGTATTGGAATGAGCTGGTGTTACTTTGGTTTTTGCTGTGTTCAGTTTTTTAAGATTGCTGAGACAAACCTGAAGGATGATTGTGCTTTAGAGGGAATTATGGGAAGAGTGGAATATCTCAAGGTCAGCCTCTATTACGGTATAAAGCTGTGTGCAAGCATGATATGAACGATAGAGCATTAGGAGTAAATCATGGGAATAAGACATCATTGATCCTGTTGCATGGAGAGATATAAACGCAAAAGACAATGTGACTGCTGACAAGTTAAGAGCCAAGCTTTTGAGAAACAAGACAACAACCCTAAGATGACAATAATGGCCCTGAAATTCCAAGCACTTATTTTGAAAACTGGTCAAGCTAATCTAACTTGCTAATGTTAACTGTTGTAATTCCTCTGTCTCCCTCTGGCATATCTTTATGGAAGAAAGATTTCTGTTGTATATAGCTCAGATTAAACTCTTTCCTTTTCCCATGACCTAGAATCTACCCTGTCAATGAATTTATTTTCAACAACATTCCCCTATTACCAGTGTTTCAGTTCCTGCTATGGTTTGTTTTTTTCTGCCAATTTTTGAATGTTATTTTTCAACACAGTTTGGCTTTCCCTTTGTTCTCTTTCCTGAGAATGTTTCCGCCCTGTGGACAATATCTGATGATGCTGTTGGAGCATGTTTATTTATGTGGCATCAAATTGTTTTAAATTTGTGGAAAAGATATCAAGCCAACAAAAATAACATTGTCATAAGCACAAACGACAGTTGAATGTTGCGGCTAGAGAACCTTTATCATCACATTATATACAATAATACACAAAATTACTTAGCTGATGTATTTCTTATAGAAATCACATCTTAGTCCGGCCAGAAGAATCAATGACATATGTATGGCTACTGACAATAAATACTGGCCAGAAAACACTGAAATAAACAAGGGCCATAACTCAAAGATATTAGATAAAACTGTTGAATGTTAATTCCCCTAGGTGATTAGGCACATTAAAAACGTGCTAAACAACAGAGATCCATCAGAGACATTCACTCCAGGGTTTCTTGGCAGAATGGCAACAAGGGAGATAAGCAGTTAAACTTTACAAGATCACAGATAGTATTTCAATGTAGAAACATTTTGCCTGCACAGGATTATAATGAGGTAAACTAGTTCTTATTATATATGTTTTGACATATAAATGAACGATGACTAGAAGTTCAAGCTGGTAGATGTTTTTTTATTCCTTTCAGCATTTTACATATTATCTTTTGCACATTTTGTGTTCAAAGTATGAAAACAATATTGCCGTCCTTTTTTGAATGAAATTTTTTTGTTATTTGAAGCCCCACCCTGGGCCTTGCCAGGGGCCACAATATAGCCAGGCCATAAATATGGCCTATTGGCTGAACGCGGTTTCTGGGACCTCTCCATGGTGATCCCCATCCACATGGTGGCACTTTGTATCATCGGGTGTTTATCGCTTGTGTGATGTCCTGGTGGGGTAGACAGTCAGTCAGTCACATATTATCTTATATAACATTACTCTTGTCTATCAGGCTTGTGTTTGCAGCACTCTTTATGGCAGTGTGACTTAGTCACACCAGGAAAAAAATGGCTCAATAGCTTTGACGTGCAATGCCTAAGAAGAATACTTGGCATTAAGTGGCTGGACAAATTTACAAACACTGAGGTACTGGAAATACCAGGTACTACACGTTTTCTCAATGCTCAGTCTACAAGTCTACAAAGGCTTAGGTGGCTGGGTCACACCTGGAGAACGGAGGATGGAAGAGTCCCTAAGGACATCCTCTATGGTGAATTAAAGAGAGGTAGAAGCTGTTGGGGCTGAACTCTACTACCATGTAAAGATGTGTGCAAGTGTGTGAGGTGGACTCATGGGAACAAAATGCCATGGACCCTGATGTATGGAGGGGGCACATTAGGAAGAGAATGAGAATGAAGGAAAAAATGATTGCAGAAAGGATGAGAGCTGAGCGTCTGAGAAGAAACAGACCAAACACAAATGTTGACAACAATGGTCCTGAAATCCCATGCTGTAATTGTGGAAGACTTTTCTTATTGTGAGCGGGTCTTGCTAGTCACACTCACCATTGCCATGGGCTGTGAGTCCCATGCCTCCTCTTAGCACAAAATAACTATTGTCTGGAAAGCAGACAGGCGCCAATGATATATAAGATCCCTGTGTGGGTTCTGGGGTCCCAGTTTGGCTAAAAAATGGAACAAGACCCACACCCCTCTTGACCAGCATGTTGTAAAAAGTGACTAATTATGAGTGTTTCTGTTGAAGTCAGAGTGCATCTGCCTAAAAGGTGAGGAACCAATAGTCTGCATACAAATAAGCCAGATCTGTAACACAGATATGCATACAACTCAAGTTTTTTATCTAGACTAAAGTCCAGAGGTATGTGAACTACCAGATTTTTCATATTGAATTTACAGCTCGTGAATGCTAAGACGAAGAAGAGGAAATATATAATATATTTGCTGTGTTTCTCTTTACTGAAGACACTGTTGACATAGAAAGCCACTGAAATAGTAAACCTGTTGACATAGAAAGCCACTGAAATAGTAAACCTGTTGACATAGAATGCCACTGAAATAGTAAACCTCTTGACATAGAAAGCCACTGAAATAGTAAACCTGTTGACATAGAAAGCCACTGAAATAGTAAACCTCTTGACATAGAATGCCACTGAAATAGTAAACCTGTTGACACAGAATGCCACTGAAATAGTAAACCTGTTGACATAGAAAGCCACTGAAATAGTAAAGAGTGCACATGACAAGAAAACACTACAGTTTGTAATATGAGTCTGTGTAGAGTTTTTGCCCCAGTGAACCTGAGTAAGTGTTTGGATGCTGGTGTTTAGTCTTTCATATCAAATGTGCAATATTCAGTGTGGAGGCTATTGTTTGTGCTTCTTTTGTATGGCCTCCCCTGTACAAATGTTTCCATGTGGGTATCTTGTTTAAAATAGTTGGCTATGAAAGAGTCTAAGTACCCAGTGGTTTATCAGGGTTGGTTGAATTTTTGTGTTTTGTGAATGCATTGTGCTGTGTGGCTAATACAAGCCCAAATACCCACTGTGCATGTGAGTGCACTATGCTGTGTGGCTAATACCAGCCCAAACACCCACGGTGCAGGTGAGTGCACTATGCTGTGTGGCTAATACCAGCCCAAACACCCACGGTGCATGTGAGTGCACTATGCTGTGTGGCTAATACCAGCCCAAACATCCACGGTGCAGGTGAGTGCACTATGCTGTGTGGCTAATACCAGCCCAAACATCCACGGTGCAGGTGGGTGCACTATGCTGTGTGGGTAATACCAGCCCAAACACCCACGGTGCAGGTGAGTGCACTATGCTGTGTGGCTAATACCAGCCCAAACACCCACTTATAAGTTTATGTCATTCAGCTTTCAGTTTTGTTTTTTTCTTGTTTCTTGTCAGTCCCGTCTGGTCATGTCTAGATGACAATTGTTTTTCCCACATGTTAGAGACATCTAGGCAACATGCAGTGCCACAAACTACAGTGGGGCCACAATGTCACCTAACATTTCATTTATCTCAGGACCTTGTTCTTCTTCCTCATTTGTCCAGTTTTTATTGGTTTAAATATAACTGTTTTGTGTCATTTACAGCAGAGCTGTGATATCTGCACTTTTAGCCAACACAATCGACTTTTCTTAAGCATTTGTTTACCTGGTTATCTTTTCTGGGCAGTTGGCAGCCTTGCAATGGGTACCATAGGACATACTTGATGATGACCTCAACAAGCTTCTTCCTTGGCCATTCAGTTGGACATTGTACAATTTTTTGACATGTTGATTGCTGATAAAATTATCAGACCTGATGGAAGTAAAGAACTAGTGTTGCAAGGAACTGTGAAGGCACATTTGTAGAATGTTACGTGACTGAAGTCTATATTCAGCCAGAAAATTCAGAACTGAAGACTGCAGAATGAGCCTCTAAACTGAGTCTGAAATGCTTTCGAATGAACCCCACTTCCAGTGTTAAGCAGTGTTAAACGGTCACAATGCTGCCCAGAGCTCAGAGAAAAAGACACTCATATCTTATGGTTTGAAGATGCTTGTGGCACAGACCGAGTACTTTCAGTGCCATTTAGTTAATAATGCTCATAAAAGTTCACTTCACCTCTATAGGTATAATAGCTGCTTGCTCCATGTCATAAGCTAATAAGCAAGAAGATCAACATCCTTCAGCCGAATATAGCTGGACAGAAGAATAAAACAAAAGGA